GTGTATTTGCTGTAATCTTTAGAAAAAAAAGTTGCAGCAACCTTCAGGTGCTTTCCCAGTTTGCTCAGGATTCAGAATTCACAGAGGGAAACATTTGAAAGGTTTCTTTATTGCCTTTTCAAACCCCGGAGGAACTTGCTTTTGTGCTCAAATATATTAGAAGTGTGTAACAACCTATTAAGCACACTCATACTGATTACAAGGATGGGCACAGCAAGATTAGAACTATTTATACACACAGAGCCATAAAAATGAAGTGGAAATAATCCATTAAGTGGTAATGATAGCCATATATGTACTGTTAGCACAGAGCGTTTTCTGCATTCATATAGAAAAAAAATATTGATCCCATTTTAAACAGAAACCCTGTGTTAAATGTATTCTCTTCAGTGCCTCAGTTCCAACCTGAAGAAAATTTGCCAGCAAAGAACCAACATTCAGGGAGGCCCAGGGGAGTCTTCCTATTGCTTCCAATGAAGCCGTTCTCCTTCCCTGGACCCCAGGGAACACGGCACTATCCGACTGTGCACACAACACAGATCTTTGGGTAAGGCCAAACTGACCTGAGGGACCAGAACAAACATATCTGCTAGTACTACACAGTGTTACTTTGTGCAGAGAAATTCACTGAGGCAACAATTACTACCAATAATATCACACATACAGCAGAATATACATTTACCCTTTTGACAAAAACAGAATGTTATAACATTTAGTTTGACATTTCGGATAGATTTCCAGTGAGATTTGACGAATTCCTCTCTTCTGTTGAGTTGCTAAACAGAATCACTGAAGGAGACAGCATTAGAAAGTAATGCCCCATCTAGCACTGAAGATAAAGTAGCTTTTGGAGGTCTTACATAACAAGAATATTGACTTCTCTACAAGTTCAGCAGTGACAGCACACAATGTACAACACGTTGGCAATCTTTGGTGCTATAAGTAAGGTATTTTTATGAACTTTGGGATAAAAGCTGTGTGCTTGCCTTTTGTGCAATGGTTTTCTCTACTGGTAAGATACTAAACGCAGTCCTCTGCAGATCATTAAGCACAGGAATTTATGGTAAGCTACTCCTACCATTCCTAGGGCCCAAATGCTTGGCAGAAGAGTATGAAGGGAAGTGTTCAAGATCAAAGGCCAGAGAACACATTTATGTTTAACTAATGTCAGTGTGGCAATCTCCTGACATGGAATAAGCTGCTGGCCACAGCTGGGACACACCATGTCTGGATAGATGGCACATGTGCTGTTCTGTCAAACTGCACTTAAAACCGCCTGGCACTGTCGTCTCTTTTGGCCTGAGAGGGGTGAAAGTGAGAGGGTAGCACAGGGAGAGAATCCTGCCGGGAGAGGCAGAGAAAGCAGCTTTTATTACTTGCTGGATGTGCGCCACAAAAGCCAATTCTATACATTTGACAGCAACCATTATAATTCCAGAGTCCTTGAACAAATCACAAGCAGAAAGGTTATCTTCCTGAAAATGTTCATTGCCATTAAATAACTGACCCAGACTAGAGGCATTTGAGAGACACTGGGGGAAGGGAGGAGATAGGGAATTACTTATTACATGGACACGTTAGCAAACCCTGCCATTTGTTCTGAAAAAGGAATTGCACCCTCACCGCGGACACCATCTCCTTTGACACTCCAGGAATGCAGTCCAGATCCTATGGACAACAGTGCCAAAAAAGCCAGGCTGAAAGGGGATATATGTGGAAAAACTCCCCACAATTTGGTAAGGCCACTGGCTGGTTCTACCCACCAATGTTGGTCCCAAGAGCTGGCCCCATGTTCCTTGTTCTTTCATGTTAGATTTCTATGGAGGCTACTCACAAAGAAAGTAACAGTAGGTCAAATTCCACCATCAGTTACACAACCCTAATGACTGCACTTAGGGGAAATATCCATATGTCATGACACATCCATTTCTGTATCACAGGGAAAGTTTAGATATCTGCTAAAAAGTGGGTAATTTGTTCTTTTTGATTAATGTAGACGTAATATTGGGAGAAACGGAGATCTCCGAATTACACTCTCTGTTAGCAAAGGCAATCATGCCTTATAACTGATTAAAAATTTGACTAAGCATCAGTAGAAACTAGGTCATCTGGTATATTAGACAGCTTCAGTACTACAGCACTGCAGCATTCAGATTCCTTCCACATATTCACACTTACTTGGATTGCACCTTCCAGGTAAGTTTCCAATTGTTTTTAGTTCTAACAAAGGCACGTGCAGCCAGTCTGCTGTCTTCTCATCCATGTTGAAAGTTTGTTTTTCTCTTAATTCAGAATTAAATCTAATTTGAAGTAAGCATTTGCAAATGACCAGGCAGTTAAACATTTTGGTTTCTGAATCTCTGTTCAGGTAGAGCACCTCTTAGAACAGGAATTTGCTTGGTAGGATGGAATATGTGCAGGCTCTTTCCAGTTGAAATCACTCTTCTAGATCCAAAGTATTGGAGTGGAAAAACAAAATTTTCTCCCTGGTTCCTTCTACCCTTGCAACTGCCACTACCCAGTCTTAACAATGCCTGTTTTTAACTCAATCTATGGCAAATTATGAGGATGAAAAGGGAAAAAAAAAAAAAAAAAAAAAGAGAGGAGAGAAAAGAGAAAAANAAAAAAAAAAAAAAAAAAAAAGAGAGGGAGAGAAAAGAGAAAAAGGGAAGTTGTCTCAGCCAATTTGTTCTCCGGAGATACTAAGGTTTCTCAGAAGAGACTGTGGCACAGAATAGAATAAAAACAAAGCACTAAATCATCACAAAAGTTCTGTACAATGACTAAAAGGAACACAAGAACTTTTCCTATCACAGGATGAGTTGTAACAGAGTAAGAGTCATATTAGACCTGTATGAATAAAACGAACATCTCTCTTATTTTACCATTCTTGGTTTGACGACTTTTCGCAAGATCCTGAAGACAAAGATATTATAATGTAGTTGCTTCTGCATTCAGGAGAGAAAGCTCCTAGCTCAAACGCTGCAGTTGTCTCTGAATCAAAAAGAATATATTATTCTGGCAAACATAAAATGTTAGCTCCTTTCACCCACAAAGAGATGGATAATTTTTAAGGACATGGACAGGGTAGATTGTTAACAGAATTCTCCTACATAATAATTCTCTTATTAATTCAACTGAGTTTAATAAGTGATCCTCATTCAGACCTCCAAAGCCCACATCAGAACATTCCTAGAAATAAATCTTCAGTCTCAATAGTCCTGCTTAAGAATGTGAGGCAAAAAAGCTTCATCAAAGCAAGTTATTTCTTTGCTGTATCTGGTTCAAAGCTTACAAACTTATAAAAAAAAAAAAAAAAAAAAAGCAGTAATACCATTATTATCCAAGGATATTGTCCTTGGATGCAATTTTTAGTCATGTTTGATCTTTGAGGCTCTCTAGTACGTCTAGCGGGGAAGAAATGAGCTGTTCCCCAGTCCCAGGAGCAGAGTTACTCCCACCACAGCATTACTGTAGGGAATCTCTGCTTCTGAGATTTGAAACTTCAAGGGGATCCCCTGGATAAAAACCAGCTCAGTCTCAGAGAAGAAGTCCTGCACTGGGACAAGAAGACTGCAGTTTTATTTGGTCTAATAAAATGACTTAGAAGCAATGAGAAGAAAGCATCTCATCCAGAACTATTTTTCTAATTTTCCAAAGCATTTTGCATTATGCTCTCCCATTTCTCCAACGACACTCACTCCCACCACTATGCTCTTCCTCTGCTGCAGCGTGCGTATTCTGCAAAGGAAAGAGCAGCTGAAAAACTGCACCACTTCCTCCAGTTCCCCTGCAGGTCCACAGGGGAGATGCTAAGGCAGCAAAGAGCAAGAGCAGTGGCTCCTTCCAATATGAAGTCACCATCAAGATAAAAAGAGATAGAGCAACTTGGCAGAAGGCTGGGGTAAGGGCTTAGGAAGGAGTAGGATGATAGAAAGAACTATGTCAGAGATGGCTCTACTTAGAAGTGGAAAGGAAGTTATGGTGTGTTATAGGTGTTAAAAACTCTGTTCATGAGTTATTAACTCTCTCTGTTGTGAGAAACAGAGAGAGGATGACAGGGGTTGTTTGCAGTGAATGACCAGATATCAGTGTGCGAATTGGAAGGAAGCTGTGCAGGTATTTGGGGATGGGAACTGATTAACAAATCCTGCATGTGCACAAGAGACGAAGGGCAGCCTGGCAAGCAAGAGGTACGTGCAAGGGCAAACCAGTGGCCAGCACCCCTGTGTTTGCAAAATGAACTTTGCTGGGCAGCAATGAATGCTGTGTGCATGAGAAAGGAGATGGGGCAGGAAGTAGGAGTGCGTGTGAGGAGCTAGAGGAGCAATGGGAAAGGGGAACACAAGACAGAGAAGGAGGAAATGACAGAGGGGAAGGAGAGAAAGATTAAGAACATGGGGGAGGATGCACAGTCTATTGCACAGGCAAGAAAGAGGAGGGGGAGGGAAGGCAAAGAAAGGAACATTTGTTACACAGAAAGTATGCTTGATGGAAAACAGACATAAAAGACGGTGCAAAAGATAATAAAAGATACCTTAGAGTTGAGAAAAGAAGTGACAAGAACAAATTCAAACAGAAGAAAAGAAAAGAGAAAGATTTTATTAACTTAATAGAAAGCATAAATCTCCAGTGAGGAGATCTGAAGGAAAGGTTAGGACACAGCATACCATGGGTAAAAACAGAAATTCCCTAGAGGCCATTGCTCACAATTAGTCCTTTCATCTCCCCTCTCTAGACCTCCAGTTCAATTCAGTTCATTTGAGCCCATACGAGCACCTCCAGCAGCAGCCTGCAGTGAGCCCTCCGCTCCAAGTATCCGTGCAAGGACACCTGTTGAGTGCAAGGAAGGAGCTAACGCAACCGTGCTCAAAGCAACACCTTCCTGAGCGTGAACACACACAAAAAGTGAAAGGTAAAAGTGGAACGGGTGGGATCAGAGTGAGGTGCTGTCATAGGCAGCAGTGAGGTGGAGCTGGTCTCACGGCTGCTTTCCTTACCTTGAGTGCTCATGAGGAACTGGCTGTCTTTGCTGCTGCTGCTGCTGCTGCTGCTGCAGGCTGAAACTCCCTACGTTGCCTCCATGCACTTGTTACTGTCTCCCTCCAGGAGTCCTGGAGAGGTTGGTTGTGCTCTGAAGCTGCTGAAAAGTAGCAGCAGTACAAGAAGCTTCTTTGCCTTCAAAGTGCAAAAAGTTTAGGAAGAATCAGGAATACAGGATGCAAGTGCACCGGTGTCAGAATGAGCAAAGAGCGACACAAAGTAAGAAAAAGTGTGTCAGCGGCTGGGAGGGGCGGAGGAGGAAAATGCAAAGATCTGACAGGAAACCAGACTATAAATCTGCTTAAGGTTTAAAAAAAACACATTTCTGCTCCCCAGTGATACAGCCTGTTTGCAAATGACTCTGCTTGCAGGTGACAGCAGAGCCCCGCGGTAGCACTGCGAGCAACAGAGAGGCACTTCTGCCCCTTCCCCTGGAGGGCAGAGGGTGAAGCTGGCAGCAGCACAGAGCACGGGCACAGGCAGGAAAAGGAGGTTTTATCTGCAGCCTTCCTTCTGGTTGCCCTGGTTTCTGGAGCATGTTTTCCTCAGGCGAAAGGGGACATGTTGAACGCCAGCCTTATGGGTGCCGTGCTGCTCATAAAGCACCCCTTGCTCCTGCTTGCATGTGCTGGCTGCAGAGAGGGCAGGAAGGAAGAAAACCAGGACTGTGCTCCGGCAGGAGAGAGTTTCAGACACAGCTGTTTCAGGCAGAAGGAGTTTTGGGGTTTCCCAAGGTTTCTAAGTCTTTTTGAGGAAACATCTATTTGATGAACAGCTGCTGCTGTTGTTAAAAGGGAAGTCAAGAAAATTTACTGTATATGAATATTAGTTCATTTTATGCCTAAATTGCATTTTACAAAAGGGGAAGACTCTCCACTGACGTAAATAAGCTGCATTAACTTGGACTTAAAGATCTCGTATAGCTTTACTGCTGGACTCAAGGCCACCCATGGGCAAGCCCACAAAATAATGGGTCTCACTAAGGACAGTCACCTGCTAGGTGACAAATAAGAGCTTCCCACTACAGACGAGCTAGTGAGAACAGGGTAAACCAGCCCTTTCTCTCACTGTTCTCCCAGTCTTGCTGGCCCTGTGTTCACCACCACCACTTTTAATACTGGTACCGTCCTGATCCTCAGCCTGAATCACTCACAACTCGCCTGCTATAAGTGCTGGTTCTTCTGCTGTTGCCTATTCAACTTCCAGAGGAAAAGAAGGCTCAGGAGCAGCTGTGTATGTGTATACACATATATGTGCACATCTGTGTGTGTATCTCGTGGGAAACGGTTAGAGAAGGAAATGCATGAAGACTGGGAATGATAAGAAGAAGTGAGGAATGAGAACGAATTTAGGAATGAGAGAAAGGAGGAGGTATGAGGATGGTAATGGAGTGAGAGAAAAAGAAAGTTAAAAATAGTTGTTAGAGAACAAACGAAAACAACGAATGGAAAGTAAGTATAAAAGAACAGTGGAAACGCTATCAAAAGAAGGCAGCATCAAAGAAAACAGAATGGAGGAAGTGAGATGAGAGTGAAAAGCAGAAATGTAAGGGAGAAAATACATGGCTCAAAGTGCCATTACAAAAACCCTCATGTGTTCTTGCTGAACTGAAATCTGTAATCTCATGAAGACTGGGAAAAGGCAGAATATACATGCTAGGGGAGCAAAACGTGTGGGGCATCCCTGCTGCAATTCTCCCTGTATTTGCACCTGGTTTTGGACTGATAAGGGACCTAAGCTTAGCCTAAGGATGACATTGAAAAGGATTCTGGAGGGCATGCTGATTCTGTAAATGAAGAGCTCGAAAAACAGTGAGACAGGAATTTCCTTCTCCCAGCCTCTCCTGGACAATAGCAGAACCCCTCTCTGTCTTTCTAACGCTACTTATTTGTTTATTTTTATTATGAATAAGGACTACGCTGTTCTGAGCAGTTCTTGTGCACCTGTATCAAACCTGTGCATTGCATGTGATGGGCAACGAAAGTTTGCCATCATCAGATGCCAGAGTTTCCTGCTCTGGGCAGCCAGAAATCTATCCCTGTGACAACTGCACGGGTGAGGATCTGCAGTTTATGACCTACAACCAGCCCAACTGGGGAAAGGCCATACTTTGCAGAAGGACAGTGAAATACTCAGGTGAGAATTGTGGCCTATGGTTATTCCATCAAAAGGGCTGTAATTCATTTCTTCTATCTAAGCTTTCTATTGCATTCATGGAGGAAGCTGATTTGTGCAGGCGACTGAGGAACCATTTGCGGCTCCCCCAGAGCAAGTAGCTCGCTCACAGGAGGCTTTTGTAGCTTCCCTTCCATTTAAAAACCACAGATCTTCCACGCGCAAACCAAGACACAGTTCCTAATCTGAAAGGAAGAATGTGCTAGAAATGCAACTGAAAACTCCCCAAGTCTTATTTTAGGTTCTGCCTTCTGTCTTTGAGTCCTTCAGCAAGTGGGATATCAGCCAGAACAAAACTGGCCTCCAGAGTCAAGCAAGCAGTTGGATAGCAGCTCTTCCTCTTTCTGCTTCTGTTTTGCTTAATGCTGTGGATTATAAGCAGCTCTCAAAAAAACATTTTAAAGAAGAACATAGGTTTCCCTGGGCCCAGAGTGCAGCCTCAGAGGCAAAAGAACTATCCAGTGAAGCCTGAACAGCCTTAAGGAACATATCACTGAAACTCAGAGGACCTAAAATAGTCCTAGTTGTAAAGACTTTCCCGGTAAACTGAAATTAGCCAAGCGTGATCTAGGCATCAGTCAAAAACTCCATATCCACCTATTTGATAAGAATTTATAATCTTCATGCCAGGTTTCAGTTTTTAAAAATGCTCTCAAGATATAAAAACATTATGATTTAGGTTATAGTTCCTTGAAGCTGATAGACTGACGTGAAGTATTTCACAAATCAGCACATACAAGGAAAGTGAAGAAAATGTTCTGTCGTGGTACCAGAAAACTCAAGGAAACTCAGACAATCCACTGAAAACACAGGTATCTGGCAAATCTCTGCAGAATTTGAATCAGTGGGTTTAACTGATCCAAATGCAAGGGCTAGGACCTTGTCTGGTAGAGCTACATATCTTTTAGACAGCGGCAACAAGAAACAACCTAGAAACAGATATATTAAGAGTTGAAAACTGGGAAGACATCTAAAAGAAGCATTGGAAAAACAAGAGCTTCCCTAAACTGTCTGGCTGAAAAAAAGACAACTTAGAAGTGGGATTAAACTGTCTTTTGTCATTTTACTCCCATTCCATTCAGGGTAGGGGATTTTTTTTTTTTTTTGGTAAGAAAAGAGAATTGCCTCAAAGATACCTGGCTCTGCCATCTGTTTCCTTATGCAGGCAAAAAAATCCACCAGAACTTTTATTTTGGTTAGCTGCCGATGGCAAGGGCTAACAATGCACCTTCTTCTTACAGCTTCTCGGCCTACTTTCAATATACCTGGTGCAAGAGACAATAAATTGAAGCCCTGTCTGCAAGGGAAATTCATCTGGTGTGACACATGTGGAGTATTTGCTGTCACTATCTTTCAAAAAGACTTCAGGAAAGGAGAGCATTTTAGTCTCTTCCAGTTGCTCTAATTATTCTAATTCTGAGCCTTGATGATAAGTCCTGAATAACAATTATTTTGTCAGCCCTTTTATGCTGAGGTGTCTTTCTCCAGGCTTTTACTTTGGGGCCCTTGCATAAACAGCCAGCACAAGTTCAAGGTCAGAGTGTGCATCCTATTAGGGTGCTGACACGGTGCAGAAGACCTTGCCCCTCAGAAGTTCCTCCACAATGTTGCTGGCCTCCCCCGGCTTTTGCTTACAGCTACCTCCAACCACAACATTTTGTCATAGCGAAAGGTTCTGTCTATGCCATAGGAGTTATGTGACATGTGTTTATCCAGCAGAAATTCTCCATGCACACCATGTCTGCCTGCGGAACATCTTTTTACCGAGGGTACATCAGCACTCAGAATGGGGGCCATAACTCAGAGATGAAGCTGCTAGGTATTTTTAAATAGTTGCAGGCTGGAGAGCTGGAAAAAATCCGCAGTTGGAAGCAGAAGAACACTAAACTGTCCAGCTCTTAATCTGCTGCTCCTCTGCTTCTATTCCATCCTTCTCCCAAGGGAGCAATTCCAGACCATGAAGAGACTGCCCTTGACTCCTTATCAGCGTAACAGGCCTGCAAATCTCTGGATACCAGAAATGCATTTCACAAACTAGTGATCTGAGAATTAATATATCGCATTCCTCGTGGATGCCTGAGCTCAGTAGCGCCGTATATATTGATAACACAACCCTACCAACTCTTTAGTGCAAAGAAACAGAAGTATTAAATATTTTCCACATTTTACATATTTTATGTTATCAACCTTGCTCAACTTTCCTTAGAGACTATCACTCTTTTTTATAGATGCTCGTAATTTATCATTTCTCTCCAGAGATCTGACTTCCAGAATAGTTTTTCCCTGTTCAGTTCACCAGCCTGTGGATAAGCAGCTGTTACTGTTCATCTGCCTTTTCTAGACATTATCATCAAAAATGCCCCTTGATCTTAAAAAGCAACACGCAGGAGGGCTTTTTTAACACCTTAGGGTGTAATGGTTTAAATCTAGTAGGGATATGTTTCTATGTATAGGTTTGTGATACACATTTAAACAGCATTTCTATTGCCTGAACTATGAAATAAGATGACAGGCAAGCATATACCAGAGGAAGAACACAGAATGTGAAATTCTCTCTTTCATTTGGCAGCGCTGGGGCTGGTGCACTTTGCACAAAATGTACAATCTCCATCGACTTCCACAGCATTATGAGACTTATCTGCCTGTGTCAGCTGTTAGCATATTCAGCCTGTTTTTTATGAGAAAGTCTGGTTCAAATCCATTCGAGGAGCCGGGTTCACATCCCACAGCATGGTGGAGAGAGCCTTGCCAAAAGCACTGCCCCTCCACTGAAACAAATAACTCAGATCTGTTCTGCCGCCTCTTGG